TGTATATGTATAATCAGTACTGAAGAATATTAAATTTGTTGCAAGTAGATGAAATCCTAGGAAAATATTAATTCTGAAATTGGAAAAACAAAGAAACATGCTCAAGACATGTTTTTTGCCATGTAATTTTCCACATGCAGTTAGTAAAGTTACTCCTTCTAGGTTTTGAACTCAGGGCCTTTTTTTTTTTTTTTTTGAGGCTGAATTGTATTTTAAGGATTTCAGTTTTTAGTATTTCAGTTTTCATATGGGTTTCTGGGCTTCTGAATTGCTAATTGTTTCTGATTGATAATTGTCTTTTCATCTTCTATTATTTTTTATAAAGATTTATTTGAAAGTCAGAGTTACAGAGAGATAGAGAGATGGGATGAGGGGGAGGGAAGAGGGAGAGAGAGAGAGAGTGAAAGAGAGAGAGAGAGAGAAAGAGAGAGAGAGGGAAAGAATATCTTCAGTCTGCTGGTTTACTCCCTAAATAGCTACAATAGCCTGGGTGGAGCCAGGTTGAATCAAGGAGTCTGGAGCTTGATCTGGGTCTATCATGTGGGTGCAGGGGTCTAAGTACTTGGGCCATCTTTTGCTGCTCTTATTGGTGCATTAGCAGGGAGCTGGATCAGAAGTGGATTAGCCAGGGTATATACCAGTGCCCATATGGGATGCTGGTGTCACAGGCAGCAGCCTGGCAGGCTGCACCACAACACCAGCCACTCACCTTCCATTCTTAAAATTTCTTTTAGACATAAGAAGTCAAGTATCTTCTAAAGATACACAATGCAAATATAGTATGGAAATGTTGTACATCATTCAATAAATCATTTCAAATCTATGAAAATAGTATCTTTGAAATCTATTAAAATGAGTTTTCAAAGATATGTTGCTGTATTCATGTATAAAATATAGAAATTAAGCAAAGTGAGCATGTTATCATAATCATTGACAGCAAGTTCTAAGATGGAATTGTATAAGCTGTTCAACAACTGAATCCTATTGATTGTTCAACTAATGAAAATAAGACTCATCACAAAATATGTTCATTGCATGGATATTTTGGTTCTCTTTTTACGTTGAGGTTACACATTTATCTAACTATAAGCCCATCTCATTGTAATAGCCTAGCTACTCCACAATTCTAGAGAAAATATCCATATGTCACTTAAACGTAGAGCACTTGTGAATAGCTTCAGGGAATAATAGATTTATTTCCTTTGTTCATGTTATTTCAGGGAACAAGGAGGTGGACACTGGAATTTCCTATATTTTTGCTTGTGATCTTTGAAGTTTTTGATGCATTCTTTTCAGTGTTCTTTAATAGCTGGTGCTAAATTAATTTTAATAGGTCCCTAGTTCTTATTTTTATGTATAAGAGAATAATAGTGTCATGGTATTTATATCTTCATCCTGACCTTTTATGTGATTGGTGTCTGTAATAAAGGTAACAGGGCAGACGTTGGTGGGAGGCGAAGGGTGATGGATAGACGTCAAAGGCATTTGGTGCTAGTGGAAGAATGCACCCTGCTGGATGAGGAAGAGGCACAGAATGCTGACCAACTCATTCTTACTCAGTGACTGCTTTTGGACCACAACTGAATTTCTACCACTTTTCACTTGCACGGAAAATGTGTTCAATGCATATAAAGTGTTGAAGAAATGAAGTATGAATTATTGGAGTGGAAAGGGATGGGGATTTGATTGTAACTAGTGTGTGTGTGTGTGTTTGTATACAATCACTGGTAAAACAGTAAATATTATTGTCCATACACAATATTTGAGGAGCAGTGACTTCCAAGAGATAATTAGACAACTCTGATAGTTTGTAGGACTTTGCAGTGCATATAGACCAACCTCAGAATTAAAAACTCCAATTGAAGAGTACTACAATATATAAAATAACTATTAGAGATAAATATAGTGTATTCTACAGCTGCCAGGTTTACTTTTCTTTAAGGAAACTTTAAGTTACAATGTGGTTAAGACTCGTTTCTTTGGGACCACCATTGTGGCCTAGCAGATTAAGCTGCTGCCTGGGACACTGGCATTCCATTTGGGCAGTGGTTCATGTCCTGGCTGCTCCTCTTCCAATTCAGCTCCCTGCTAATGTGCCTTGTATCTCTTTGATTCAACATTTTTGTGTCTTTTGGGCGTATACCCAATAGTGGGATTTCTAGGCCATGTGACACGTCTATCTCAGGCTTTTCAAGAAATATTCGCTGGCATTGTGTAGTCATAGGTTAAACCTCTGCCTGTGATGCTAGCATTCCTTATGGGCTCCGATCTGAATCCTGGCTGCTCCACTTCTTTTTTAAATTTTTATTTAGGCTATACAAGTCCCATGTATTTCATATATACAGATTTAGGAACAGAATGATACTCCCCATCACCCTCCCTCCGGTCCATGCTCCAACCCTTCTTCCTTCTCCCTCTCACATTTTCAGTCTTAAAAGATCTATTTTCAGTTTATATAATGATTGCATAGCTAACCCTACACTAAGAAAAAGAGTTCCATAAATATTATGAAGAAAAAATCCCCACTTTTCTTCAATGGAAGAGGCAAGGGCTATAAACAATGATCGACTCAAAATGTCCATTTCACTAAAATACATTATGTTTTAAGTACTCTGTTAGCTACTTTGGAAAACAAACAATATCTGTCTTTTTGGAACTGGCATATTTCACTACTTATGATGATTTTACTTGAATCTATCTTGTTGCAAAAGACAGGATTTCATTTTTTAATAGCTGAGTAGTATTTCATAGTGTATATATAACCATAATTTCTTTATACAGACAACAGTTGATGGACATCTGAGTTAATTCCATATCTTAGCTATTGTGAATTGTACTGTAATGAACATGGGTGTACAGATAATGCTTTTAGATGCTGATTTCTTTTGGTTTGGGTAAATTCCCAGGAGTGGGGTGTCTGGATTATATGGTAACCAGTCTATATTCAGATTTCTGAGGTTTCTCCATACTGTCTTCCACAGTGACTGTACCAGTTTACATTCCCACCAACAGTGGATTAGGGTATCTTTTCCCCACATCCTCACCAGCATTTGTTGATTTCCATATGAGAGCCATTCTAATGGGGTGAGGTGAAACCTCACTGTGGTTTTGATTTGCATTGCCCTAATGGCTAGTGATCCTGAACATTTTTTCAAGTGTCTGTTGGCCATTTGAATTTCTTCTCTTGAAAAATGCCTGTTCAAGTCCTTTGCCTTGTATTAAATGGGTTGTTTGTTTTGCTGTTGTTGAATTTCTTGAACTTTTTATAGATGCTGAACATTAACCCTTTATCAGTTGCATAATTTGCAATATTTTCTCCCATTCTATCAGTTGTCACTTCATTTTGCTGAGTGTTTCTTTTGCAGTACAGAAGTTTCTCAGCTTGACATAATCCCATTTGTCAATTTTGTCTTTGCCTGTGCTTCTGGGGTCTTTTCCAAAAAATCTTTGCCCATGCAAAGTCTTACAGAGTTTCCCCAATGTTCTCTAGTAATTTGATAGCATTGGGTCATAGATTTAGGTCTTTGATCCATTTTGAGTAAATTTTTGTGTAAGGTGTAAGGTATAGGTCTAGTTTCATACTTCTGAATGTCGAGATCCAGTTCCCCAACATTTGTTAAAGACATTGTCCTTTCTCCAGGGATTGATTTCACCTCAGTTGTTAAAGATAAATTGGCTGTAGACGTGTGTCTTGATTTCTGAAATTTCTATTCTGTTCCATTAGTCTACATGTGCGATTTTTTTTTTGCCATTTCCAGGCTATTTTGATTATAATTGCCCTGTGAAATGGCTTGAAATCTGGTATTGTGATGCCTCTGGCTTTATTTTTGTTGTATAAGATTGCTTCAGCTATTCAGGGTCTCTTGTGCTTCCATACGAATTTTAGCATCATTTTTTCCAGATCTGAGAAGAATGTTGTTAGTATTTTGATTGGGATCACACTGGATCTGTAAATTGCTTTTGGTAGTATGGACATTAAATGATATTGATTCTTGTAACCCATGAACATGGAGATTTTTCCATTTTTAATGTCTTCTATTTCTTTCTTTAGTGCTTTGTAATTGTCTTCATAGAGATCTTTGACATCCTGATTACATTTATTCCAAGGTATTTAATTGTTTTTGTAGCTATTGTGAATGTCATTGAACTTAAAAGTTCTTTCTCAGCCAGAGCATTGGGACTCCCTTCAGGAGGGCTCATTTGATGGTGAGGAATTGTGTTAGCTTTTTTTTGTCTGGGAAATTATTTATCCTTCCTTTTGAAAATATAGCTTTGCTGGCTATAATATTCTTGGTTGAAATTCTTTTTCTGTCAAAACCTTGAATATATAATCCCATTCTGTTCTGACATGTGGCCTTTCTGCTAAGAAGTCTTCCAAAATAAAGCTATTGAAGAAAGCTATTTTATGGAATATTTGCCTTCCTGGTGTTCGTTGGCAATCTGTGCAGCTTTTGATGTGACAATTTGGAAAATCTTTATGTCAATTACTCAAAAAGTTTCTACATACACTAACAGCTGTTAGAATAAATCCTCACTGGCAATGAACTCTTAAGGTCCTCTTTAGATGACTAAGGTCTACCTACTAATTGAGATATTTTATGTTCTATGTGTTAGATTTTCATATTTTCCTAGGTGATATCTATACTTCTTCAGCTCACATTATATGGAGATTAGGAAAAAACTCTGCAAATAATGAAAGAGAATATATCTTTATTTGCATGCTTGCAAATGAGAATTCAGGTTTCACTCTAATACTAGCTCTGAAGGATTCAACTATCCCTTGACCAGGATATAAAGTGCGTGAATTGTTTTGTGCAATAACAGTGCTTCCCACAAAGCAGTGTTGAACTCATCCATTAGACTGTCTGCATGGTCTTCTGCTTGTCAAGGGTCCCAGAATTTATAAGAAAACAAGATCTTCATGCCACATCCAGAAACCATGAATTGGTAGAAAGTCAGTCTTAGATATTAAGAAATATTTGGTGTGGCTTTTTCCAGACATGAGTAGTTTACTAAGCATCTTTTCCACACTAGTAATAGCAGGATTTGCCCTTGGAAATTTTGCCAATGTCTTCATAATACTGGTGAATTGCATTGACTGGGTCAAGAGGAAAAAGCTCTCATCAGCTGATTGGATACTCACTACTCTGGCAATCTGCAGAACTGCATTTCTTTGGATAACATTAATGCACTGGAATTCCATTGGGTTTAATCTATATTTGTTCAGTGTCGCTCCCCCTCTTCGTGGAGGAGCAACACAGGACCCTGCGCTGTTCTTTCGTCTGCTCGGCCCTCCCCGGGTTTGCTGCTGGTTCTTCCCGGGTTGGCTACTATCCCTTCCACCTCCGTGGAAGGGCAGTTCCCCCTGGCCACATTCCCCACTTCCGCAGGGGAGCAGCACACCGCCGGCCGGCTCTTCTCGGGGGCTGCACAGGTGTTCCTTCAGCTAGATGTTCCCCATAGATGTTCCCGGTGCATGCCGTCTCTCTCCTCCTTTATAGTCCTTCTCCGCCAATCCCAACTCGGCTGCCCACACGCCGAGTACGCTGCTCTCCTCCAATCAGGAGCAAGACCTACAGTTTATCAGTTGAACTGGAGGCAGCTGTGCGGAAGCTGTTTACTTCTCTCCCAACGCCACATTGTGGGAGAGCAGATGCATAGAATAAGTCTTAATTCGAGTAACTTAGTCTAGTCCGGATTGCTCCCCACAGATCCCCCTTTCTTTTTATTTTTTGGCGTTGATACGCGCCTGTCTTCGGTGTCCCGCGGCACACACTCTGCTCTACTTGCTAGAGTTGCCACAGGCTCTTACAAGTCCTATCAATCAGGAAAACCGAATCCGGGTCCTCTCTTCGCCATTGTGAGGAGGTTTTTAGGCGCTGATGCGTGCCTGTGTTCGGTGCCCTGCAGCGCATGCTCTGCTCTGCCTGCAGGGGACTTACAAGACCTATCAGGCAAACCGAATCCAAGCCTTCTCATTGCCTTATTGTGGGGGAGACTTATTAGTGTTGGTTTGTGCCTATCTTCGGTGACCTGCAGCTCATACTCTGGTCGAGCTGCTTGCTGGCGCTTACCGCCTTAAATCAGGCAGACCGAATCCAAGCTTAATATTGTTGTATTGTGGGGAAGCCTTACTGATGTTAATTCGTGCCTGTCTTCGGTGACCTGCGGCGCATAAGCTGCTAGCTGCCCGCAGGTGCTCATCGCCTCACTTGATTAGGCAGACCGAATCCAAGCTCTCACATTGCAGTGTTGTAGGGAGGCCTTTTTATTTCTCTATTTCTCTATCTCCGGGCATTCCTATTTCTCCCATTTTACTTCTATCTTTCAGCATTCCTATTTTTCTCACTTTACTTCTAAACTTCTGTTTCTCTTATCCCCGCAGCTTCCCGCTGCCCGCCCCGAGGCTACTTCTCCGCGGCTTCCCAGCTGAGCTGCTTCAGCCCGCGCCTCTTTCATCTGCGCAGCTTCCCGGCTTTACGCGGCTTGGCTTCGCGCGCTCCGCGGTCTCCACGCTTAACCCTTTCGCGTCTGAACCACGGCCTATGCCAGCCCCGTTCCCTATCTATTCACGCCCCGTGCTCTCTGCACGCGGCGGCTTCCGCGAGTAACACAGCGTAGCTCACGTGTCCGCCACTAGCATTCAATCTAAGTTCCCCGGGCTAGCCTGGCGAATTCAACCCAGCGTACGTCTCCGCCCCACGGTTTGGCTTCCCGTCCTTTGCTCCCCGGGCTAATCAGACGGATCCCAACCCGGCTCACGTTTCAGCTTCTGGTTTCAACTTTTCGCCCCCTATTCCCGGGCTAACTTGAGAACCCCAAAGTGGCTTCCGTTTCCGCCTCGGCCTGCCCCCCGCGGCTTCAATTTCCCTAACATTTTTCTCTACCCGGTATGTTTCCCCAAGCTTTCCTCCAACGATATTCCTCCCTCATTTCTCCTGGCCTCTCCCCACAGTCCGCGTCCGAGTCTGTTTGTTCTAGCTTTCACTTTCGCTTTCGACCTTAGAGATTTCTCCCAGCTTCCCCCCGTAGTCCGTATCCGAGTCTATGCCTAGGCTTTCAATAGCTTCTTCCGGCACCCTTTTCGTCCGGCTTTTCCCTAGGCTGTTTGCTAGTCTCTCTCTCCGGTAATTTCCCAGTTCTTCCCGTTTCTTCCCTCCTAAGTTTGCTATCCGTCCTAGGTTTCCTATCCGAGTCAGGTTTCCTATCCGAGTCACGGCACCATTATGTCGCTCCCCCTCTTCGTGGAGGAATGACACAAAACCCTGCCTAGGCTTCATATCCGAGTCACGGCACCATTATGTCGCTCCCCCTCTTCGTGGAGGAACGACACTAAACCCTGCCTAGGCTTCATATCCGAGTCACGGCACCATTATGTCGCTCCCCCTCTTCGTGGAGGAACGACACAAAACCCTGCCTAGGCTTCATATCCGAGTCACGGCACCATTATGTCGCTCCCCCTCTTCGTGGAGGAGCAACACAGGACCCTGCGCTGTTCTTTCGTCTGCTCGGCCCTCCCCGGGTTTGCTGCTGGTTCTTCCCGGGTTGGCTACTATCCCTTCCACCTCCGTGGAAGGGCAGTTCCCCCTGGCCGCATTCCCCACTTCCGCAGGGGAGCGGCACACCACCGGCCGGCTCTTCTCGGGGGCTGCACAGGTGTTCCTTCAGCTAGATGTTCCCCATAGATGTTCCCGGTGCATGCCGTCTCTCTCCTCCTTTATAGTCCTTCTCCGCCAATCCCAACTCGGCTGCCCACACGCCGAGTACGCTGCTCTCCTCCAATCAGGAGCAAGTCCTACAGTTTATCAGTTGAACTGGAGGCAGCTGTGCGGAAGCTGTTTACTTCTCTCCCAACGCCACATTGTGGGAGAGCAGATGCATAGAATAAGTCTTAATTCGAGTAACTTAGTCTAGTCCGGATTGCTCCCCACAGTTCAGCAAACAAGAAATAATTATTGTCCATATTTTTGAGTTAATAACCAACCATTTTAACATCTGGCTTGCTACTATCCTCAGTATATTTTATTTGCTCAAAATAGCCAATTTCTCCAACTTCATTTTTTTTCACCTGAAGAAGAACATTAACAAGGTAATCCTAGGAGTTCTGCTGGGAAGTATGGTGATTTTGTTTTGTATTATTGTGATAAAAATGGAAGATTCTATGTGGGCAAGTGAATATGAAGGAAACATGACTTTGAAGACCAACTGGATAGGCGTGGCACACCTTACAAATATTCCAATTCTTATCATAATCAACTCTATACCGTTTGCTACAGCACTGATATGTCTTCTGCTGTTAATTTATTCTCTGTATAAGCATGTCAGGAAGATACAGGTCTATAGCAGAGGATTCCAAGACCCCAGCACCAAGGTCCACGTAAGAGCGATGCAAGCTGTGGTCTCTTTTCTCTTGCTGTTTGCCATTCATTTTCTTTCTGCTACTGTATCGGTTTGGAATTTTAATAAGTTGCAGAACAAAATATTCTTCTCTCTGCGCCTTGCTATTGCATTTTTCTTTCCTTCAAGTCATTCATTTCTACTGATTTTGGTAAACAGGAGGCTTAGCCAGGCATTTCTGTTAACGCTTTGGCAGGTCATGTACAAGCTGAAAGAATGGATGCCTTTCACTCTGTAGATCAGTGTCTGGGACTTTCTGTGTGTTCTGGCAGAAAACAAAGGGAAAGCTGTATGTTTTAAGTGCCATAAGATGGAGCAGTGAGTATAATTTCTTCCTGCAAGTCACTGGGACTCACACCCTTGAGGACTCCTTAAGTGGCCAGGCTGGGGTCCCCACACAGTTTACCTAAGGCTACCTGCGTTAGTCGTATATTGCGAAAGTAAGCACAGGTTCTTAGATCTCCGAGAGGAGGGGCCCGTCGGGAGACACAGTACTTCAGCACACAATATGATATTATTCCACACTGTTATTCACACTAAGCTGTCACACGTTACATGACATTACACAATCTAAGTAATATGTCCAATGGAGAGAGACAAAGAGAGAGAGAGAGAGAGAGCGAGCTCTCTAAGGTGCACAAAGCCGCTGGAATTGCAGATGGCCGGGGAGCGTGATGACCCTGGGTGTAGCCCTCTGGCTGAGTTGGTCTCAGAGCTCCAGGGCCTCCGGTGCAGGCCCTCCAGGCTGGCTTGCTGGTTGTGACGGTCTCGGTCCTGCAGCCGTTTTACAGCCCAGTGTTTGCCAGTCCTGCTGGCTTGCTGTCCTCTCACTGGGGAGGCTTCTAACGCTGGAGCAGCCAGGAGCCCTGCCCTCCGTGCAAGGCCATGTGGCCAGCCAGAGAATTGGTTGCTTCACCCAGACGGGCTCCTGCTACTGGAACTCCCCACCGGCGACCTTCCAGGGGAGAGCTCCCGCCAAGTCCTGTGATGGGGTTTCTTTTTCTTTGAGTCTCGTGTGGAGAGGCTCCGCGGAACAAGCCTGCCTGCTCACTAGTGCTTGAAACTTTCTGCTTTTATATCCTCATAAAAACACGTTTTTGTTGGAAAATAACTTTTTCTTCCTTATGGACCCCACTGTCCAGCTATCACAGACAAGTAAATGCTGTTTCAAGAACTTTTTCGCTACAAATCATATATTATTGTCTGGACTTACATCAACTTACTCCAAATGGCTTCACTGATGTTAAACTAATTATATCATAAACTAGCCTAATATCTATTTATTTTTAATAATTTATAAATGCTGTATGTACTGGAACATTTTATAATTCCTACTGGCTTTCCTACAATGTATGTATTTGTGTAATTTCTAAAGGTATATTTTAAAAACCTTTAAATAAAACTTACTATGTAAAAAGATATCAAGGAGGGTGTGTATAATTATAAAATCATATTGATAATACTCTATCCTTTTTCATGCAAAACATTTACTTATATAAAGTACAGCAATAAAGTTTTCAGAAGTATAAAACCATATGTATTTCATACTACATCTATTATCTTTGAATTGAAGAATTTGTGTTCTTATTTATGCATTATTTAGAAATGTCAACTTATCCCAGATGGTTACTGCAGATAGTCACTGCAATTTTCTGTTGCAATCTGTGCCACACACATGCATTACAGTGTGTTTGTATTTCATTGTTTGAACTTCCAAGATTAGAATAAGAACATTCAGCTCAAAACCATCTGTGGTGGGTGGATGTTTGAGGTAGATTTTATCCCATGAACATCTAATATTTAGGGGCTGGTACCAGTCATGTAAGTGGGTTGAACCTCCATTTGTGGTGCTGGCATCTCATATGGGCACCAGTTGGAGTCATGGCTGCTCAACTTCTGACCCAGCTCCCCACTAATGGCCTGGGAAAGCACTGGAAGATGACCCAAGTGCTTGGGCCCCTGCACTCGCATGGGATACCTGGAAGATGGTCCTGGCTCCTGGTTTCTGCCTGGCTCCGCCATGGACATTGCAGCCATTTGCGGAGTGAACCAGCGGATGAAAGATCTCTTTCTCTCTCTCCTTCTCTCTGTAACTCTTCCTCTCAAAAAAAAAAAAAATAAATAAATCTTTTAAAAATTAATATTTAACAGAAATCAAATAGAAGTTCCAGTATTAAAATATGCACCCAGCACAATTAAAGAGTGAGAAATATATTTGGAGTAAATTTTGCATATGTGTATTGTAAACAGTACTAAAAATATTAAATTTAGGGGCCAGCGCTGTGGCGCAGTAGGTTAATCCTCCGCCTGCAGCACTGGCATCCTATGTGGGCACTGGTTCTTGTCTCAGCTGCTCCTCTTCTGGTTCGGCTCTCTGCTATGGTCTGGGAAAGCAGTGGAAGGTAGTCCAAGTGTTTGGGTCCCTGCAACCATGTGGGAGACCCAGAAGAAGCCTGGCTGCTGACTTTGTATGGGTTCAGCTCTAGCTGCTACAACCATTTGGGGAGTGAACCAGCAGTTGGAAGACCTCGCTCTCTGTCTCTCCCTCTCACTGTCTGTAACTCTACATCTCAAATAAATAAGAAATACAAATATTAAATTTAATATAAGTAAGCGAACATTATCGAAAAAACATTTCTACTATTGAATAAAGAAAGAAACATGACCATGACCTATTTTCAATGCTTTTGTAAATTTCCATGTGCAATAAGGACAACCCTATCTTGCCATTTTTGAATAACAGAAAATGCAATGTGATGTGATGTATGAGTCCTCTGGTGACAACTTCACCATCAGGGGAGAGACAGCATGGTAGTCAGCTCCTGTGTGCATTTGATCTGCACCATTGTCCTGGGAAAGTTTCCCAAGGAAACCGTCTAGCATTAGCCATGGAAGTGAAATTATAGCAGGATTCACATACTAAGACAAGACACCAAAGCCTCTTAACAGGAAGTAGTCTTTTATTATGGCAGCATAAGGCCCAGGAGGAGTTTCTTATCCAAAATCCTGAGCCCCAAACAAAGAAGAGTTTTCCCTTATAGTTTTAGTTTCCATTATAGTTTTAGCCACTTTGTATCCCTTATATGGCTACCTGCATACATTTGATTGGATATTCTAATGTTACATGGCAGCCACAGAATTGATACAATACTGCCCATGTGAGGATAGTTATGGAAGATTTTTTTACCCCACACACATACTGAGCTGTAAGCTTTCTGGCAAGAGTTAACATCATTGCTCTGTACTAAAAAGCAGGACCTAAAATGGTTACATATAAGCAAATAGGGACTACAAATGGAGCATTCATAGGTAAGCAGGTAACAACCACATTTCATTCCCAGGACAGATGCCTCCCTTTTTCTTTTTCTAACTTTGGAAAGGCCTCTAGAAAGAAATCTAATTAAAAGACAGAGGCCTCTGCCACAAAAGGAGTGCGAACTCATCTTCTTTATTCTCTTCTGTCTTCTATTTCCTATTGTACAAGGTTTACCTGAAGCAGAACTAACATCTCTGCTTTTGTCTTACATCATCCAGTTCCTTGGTGGTCATGTAAAAATTCAGACCTCATGCTCCCAGGGTAGGGTTCTATTCAAATCCAGACACAAGCATGATCTTGGTCAGGCAAGACACCGAAGAAGAGAAAACAAAATAGTCAAGGGAATCTGAGGATATACACAAAAATCTGTGCTAATCCAGTCTAACCCTTGTGCCACTCAAGCGTTCTCATGCTCTCCAGTAATGGCTGACTTTAGAGGGTCTGATCTGACCAGGGGCAGTGTCAGGTATTTTGGGGACCTCATGCTCTGATCTTGCCATTTTTTTTTTCAGAAAGAGCACTCCTCTGCTGAAGAGGGTATGGTCTTACAATAATTTATTGGAGTTTTGCTCTCCCATATCCTATGTGGTTTGCCAGAGACAGTCACAAGGTTCTTGTCACTTTAAATGCCTTTCTCAGTTAGAATCTACTTGGCTACCTCGCAAAACGGGAAGGGCAGCTTGTGCCACTGTCTGCACCCGCTATGGAGCCCTCTCTGACCCTGGGTCTAACTAGCGCCGTTTGGGTTGTTTCATAAAAGGGTCAGAGCAATGTCCTCAGATGTGGTAAATGCCATCTCCGAACTCTCCTGTCACAGGAAAAGCTTAGAAATCCTATGTAATAATTACTTTAAACCTTTCTATGTGGATCTACTGTCTTTATTAAAATAAATTCTGAGTGGCCATGGACCAGTAAGGCCATCTCCTGATGACTATGGCTCTTTTCTTTATGTAGACATTTTCAGTGTGCTCCATGTGTTATTTTCCTGGCTGACACCTAAACTTCATGAAACCAAATTGTGCACAAATTAGACAAGGCAAAAACTGCAAATAATGAAAGGTAAGAAATTTTTCATTTGCATACTCTCAAATGAGAATTCAGCTTTCATTCAAACGTCAGCTGTGAAATTCTAGCTCATGGCAAGCATATTACCTACAGGAATAGGAGTTCTTTCACACTGTTTTTGTAATGATTTTTTATAGACACAACATTGAACTCATCCATCAGCATGCCTTGTGCTTTGCTGGTCATAGAATTTAAAAGAAGTCAAGCAGTTCATTGCACATCTATGTATCACGTGCTGATAGAAATTTAGTTCAAATATTACAGGATCTCAGCCAGTGATAATATGCTTGCTTCCCTCTCCCCTGCCCTGATATGAGAAGTTTACTGACCAGTGTAGTTTCCACCCAAGTCACAGAGTTTGTTTTTAGAAGTGCTGCCAGTATCTTCCTAGCCCTGGTAAATTGCAATACCTGAGTCGAGACAAAAACTCTCCTGAGTTGACTGCATTCTCACAACTCTGCCAGGCTCCAGAATTGCTTTGCTTTGGGTGATTTAAACATATTAGGATGCAGTGGTGGTTAATCCACCTTTAAATAATATTCAAATAAGAGTCGTTGTTCTTCTTGCCTGCAATCGCTGGCTACTTGCTTCAGCTTATTTTATTTGCTCAATCTAGTCAAAACCTCTGCCTTTATTTTTCTTCACTTCAGGAGGAACATTAACAAGGCAGTTATATTGGTAATGCCTGGGATTTTAGAGTGTTTTTAATTTTGCTCTGATAAAAGTAGCTGAGACTATGAGGCTGAATGGACATGAAAGAAACAGGACTCGGAGACCAACTTGGCAGGTATTGTACGCCTTTCAAATATACCTATTCTTATTCTAGTAGAGCTCACACCTTTTATGAAATATCTGTT